CAAAAATACAAAAATACTTGACTGCATAATGCAGTGATTGACCACTCAGAGAGCTGTAACAAGAATGTCCTCACAAAACGTTTTTACTGTGTAAAACGGTTCTGTGAAATGTTCTCTTATGTCGAACCATATTATAGTTTATATTTTGTCAGTCATGACTACCCACTGGCTTCTGAGTCACCCTCTGCATCCCACGATGCACCAGTGTGCTGCTCTCAGACTGTGCGCTGACTCTCAAATTGTTCTTCTTCCTGTACTTTTATCCAAGTCCTCGCTCTCTTTAATGCCAGGACACGATTATCAGTAGCGACAGCTCAGCTGTGTCTGCCCAAACCGAGCCACCCCTCTGAGTGCAGCGGCAAAGTACAGTTCACTCTTTCATTTAGAAGTGGCAGCCTGTTCATTTTAAATGAGGTCGTTTAACTAGACCTGCATGAAATCTGTGCATGCAGTACTCCAAAAGAAGCTTTGTGCATTTTAACCAAACACATAACCCATCTATTTCCAGCTTGTTTTTCGTCATTTTTGTTGCTTGTTAAGACAAGCCTCGCTGATATTATTGGATATTTTCAAGTCTGGGCGGATCCATTCCAGCACCACAACAGATGCAATTAAACTTACATTGAAGGAAGGGTTTAATACTCTGAAGTGACTTTTGTCAGCTTATACAGCAGCAACCGCCTATCAATGACTCAGCGATGCATAGGTGTGCTCGGAAATCCAGTGTGAACACCTTAAATTAGACAGATTGTCTTTAATACATTTAATCAGATTTAAAGACTTTTTCAGAGGTTTGGGCCTTATTTTTATTGCGCTCTGCTCCTTATCTAGACATTTAGTATCAGATCCTGGCCATGATTTTGTGATGTCACATGCAACCGAGACAATGGTGTTGTTATGGATGCCAACTCTTTCCTTGCCTGATTTTGTTGACATCTGAGGAGAAAGCCCTCGCTGTTGTTCTTCATCTTGTCGTTTTGAACTCCGGAGGAGCTGGGTCTGATGTCGGCTGCTGAATTCCTCTGAGTGTCTGGTGAATGAGGAGCGTGGGATGTGTCGGGAGGGCACGGCACGGGGATATGTATAATCATGCAGATGAAAGAGATTGAGCTGCAGTCATCGAGCCACATTTATCTTGTGGGTGGAAGTGCTGCTTCGGCTTAAATTTGGATTTTAAGAATGCAGTGGAAAAATAGAGCTACGGAAAAAAAAAGTCCACGTGAGCTTAAATCACATTTGCTCTGTGAATATAGACCTGTTTTTGGAAACCTTTACATTTTTATGTTGCAAAAGCTTGTTGTATTAAGGATACAGGAGTTTAATGTATGTCACATAGTGCAAAATACATCAGCCAAATGATCAGATATTACTTGTCAATGAAAACATTTTAACCCTTAATGTTTTTGTAAACATTTACTGTAATGGCACACAGAATAGATGTACAACTAATGCAGTATCATTGTCACAAACTTTTTCTAATTTTATTTCAGCTGTTTACATTTTATTGAGTTATTTTATGTTGATATATTATTATATTATGATTATAGATAGATAGATGATAGATAGATAGATAGATAGATAGATAGTTATGTAGATACTAAATAAGTATCGCTTTTTATTTCTCCTCTTTCCTATTACTTGTTTCGCTTCTGTTTCAGTTTTTATAAGCATTTCTTACTATGTGTAAGTAAGTTGTTGTTTTTTAGCATGTAAGTTTGGCAGTGTTATTTTTTAGGATTACTGATAAACTACTGTCATTTGATTTGGATTATTTGTATTTGTTATTTATTTTAATTTTAGTTACATTGTCTGAATTTATTATGTCTGTATAGGTCTTTTATTAAGTTTTTAGTTTTTATTTAATTTGAGTTATTTTAATACTTCAACAAACTAAATGGAAATGAAATAATATATATATTGAATTTATAAATGTGTATGTACATATACAGTATATCTGTATGTGTGTGTGGTTATACATACACACATATGTAGTTGTTTTTTTGGTGTTTGGCTTAGTGTTATGTTAGAATAATTATTATACTCTTATACCTTTTGTTCTTTAATATTTTGAATTGTTTTTAGCTTTATTTTTTTGTTTTTCATTTAAATCTTACGTTTTTAAATTTTGTCGTATGCATTTGTCATTTTTATTTAATCTCTTTATTTTTAAAATGTGTATAGGTAGTATTTATAAAGTTCTAGCTTTTAGTTTTGGATCTGTTTTTTAGTTGTTTTAATACCACACTTGATTGCTTCTGTTGTCCTCATTTGTAAGTCGCTTTGGATAAAAGTGTCTAATAAATTACTAAATAAATAAATAGATAGATAGATAGATAGATAGATAGATAGATAGATAGATAGATAGATAGATGATAGTGTTATGATATATTATGATATAGATAGATAGATAGATAGATAGATAGATAGATAGATAGATCGTGTTATGATAGATAGATAGATAGATAGATAGATAGATTGTGTTATGATAGATAGATAGATAGATAGATAGATAGATAGATAGATAGATAGATAGATAGATGATAGTGTTATGATATATTATGATATAGATAGATAGATAGATAGATAGATAGATAGATAGATCGTGTTATGATAGATAGATAGATAGATACATAGATAGATAGATAGATAGATAGATCGTGTTATGATAGATAGATAGATAGATACATAGATAGATAGATAGATAGATAGATCGTGTTATGATAGATAGATAGATAGATACATAGATAGATAGATAGATAGATAGATCGTGTTATGATAGATAGATAGATAGATACATAGATAGATAGATAGATAGATAGATCGTGTTATGATAGATAGATAGATAGATACATAGATAGATAGATAGATAGATAGATCGTGTTATGATAGATAGATAGATAGATACATAGATAGATAGATAGATAGATAGATCGTGTTATGATAGATAGATAGATAGATACATAGATAGATAGATAGATAGATAGATCGTGTTATGATAGATAGATAGATAGATACATAGATAGATAGATAGATAGATAGATCGTGTTATGATAGATAGATAGATAGATACATAGATAGATAGATAGATAGATAGATCGTGTTATGATAGATAGATAGATAGATACATAGATAGATAGATAGATAGATAGATCGTGTTATGATAGATAGATAGATAGATACATAGATAGATAGATAGATAGATAGATCGTGTTATGATAGATAGATAGATAGATACATAGATAGATAGATAGATAGATAGATCGTGTTATGATAGATAGATAGATAGATACATAGATAGATAGATAGATAGATAGATCGTGTTATGATAGATAGATAGATAGATACATAGATAGATAGATAGATAGATAGATCGTGTTATGATAGATAGATAGATAGATACATAGATAGATAGATAGATAGATAGATCGTGTTATGATAGATAGATAGATAGATACATAGATAGATAGATAGATAGATAGATCGTGTTATGATAGATAGATAGATAGATACATAGATAGATAGATAGATAGATAGATCGTGTTATGATAGATAGATAGATAGATACATAGATAGATAGATAGATAGATAGATCGTGTTATGATAGATAGATAGATAGATACATAGATAGATAGATAGATAGATAGATCGTGTTATGATAGATAGATAGATAGATACATAGATAGATAGATAGATAGATAGATCGTGTTATGATAGATAGATAGATAGATACATAGATAGATAGATAGATAGATAGATCGTGTTATGATAGATAGATAGATAGATACATAGATAGATAGATAGATAGATAGATCGTGTTATGATAGATAGATAGATAGATACATAGATAGATAGATAGATAGATAGATCGTGTTATGATAGATAGATAGATAGATACATAGATAGATAGATAGATAGATAGATCGTGTTATGATAGATAGATAGATAGATACATAGATAGATAGATAGATAGATAGATCGTGTTATGATAGATAGATAGATAGATACATAGATAGATAGATAGATAGATAGATCGTGTTATGATAGATAGATAGATAGATACATAGATAGATAGATAGATAGATAGATCGTGTTATGATAGATAGATAGATAGATACATAGATAGATAGATAGATAGATAGATCGTGTTATGATAGATAGATAGATAGATACATAGATAGATAGATAGATAGATAGATCGTGTTATGATAGATAGATAGATAGATACATAGATAGATAGATAGATAGATAGATCGTGTTATGATAGATAGATAGATAGATACATAGATAGATAGATAGATAGATAGATCGTGTTATGATAGATAGATAGATAGATACATAGATAGATAGATAGATAGATAGATCGTGTTATGATAGATAGATAGATAGATACATAGATAGATAGATAGATAGATAGATCGTGTTATGATAGATAGATAGATAGATACATAGATAGATAGATAGATAGATAGATCGTGTTATGATAGATAGATAGATAGATACATAGATAGATAGATAGATAGATAGATCGTGTTATGATAGATAGATAGATAGATAGATAGATAGATAGATAGATAGATGATAGATAGATAGATAGATAGATAGATAGATAGAACGTGTTATGGTATATTATGTGATTACAATTATTTTGAATTTATAGATTTATAATGCATTGTTTATTATAATGCAACAATATTTAGGTACAGGATATACAGTTACTGTAGTCTATCATCTTTACCTCAATATATTTTACATGGGATTATAGCATATTATATAGCATACAGGCTTAATAGAAAGTGTTGCTTCATTACTCGCATTAGGGAAATTGCAGCGTAGTATCACTCCAACACAATCAATATAATATACGACACAATGCGCACATAGCTGTCATTTTGAAGCATGATTCGACTGATTTACACCTTCATTAGTCTGGATGAGTCGTTGATGTCTATTGGAGAGCTGTAATCGTTTACTCCTCCTCCTCCTCCTCATGCTGTCGGCTGTGTGGGTGTCTGACAGCTCCGCGAGTCTCAAACCGGAGCGCTTCAACACTCACCACTCTTCGCTCAAATGTGCTTTTATTCCTGCGTACCTACGTTCCGCGCTCCTCATGTCCTCCGTAACTCTCTCAGGATCGTTTCGGTGCTGATGTGAGTCCAGTACTTTCATTCATTTGGCACGTTTCTTCAGTCGATGAGTATGCGTTCACGGTGGAGTTACATCGCCTGGATTTGCGTCTTCAGTCTCGGCGCGTTCAGGACTTTCTGCGTTCCCGGTAATGAAGGTAAGACGCGGGATCTGGGAACGGTGCTGTTTGCAGGGATTGATGGTTGACAGTCCCTGGATTCCGCCTGGAAATGAACGCTCTTCAGATCAAGAACCGTTTTTGGCTCCATGAGGTTCTTGGGTTGCTATATGATTGTTTGGAGACCAAACACAAGTTCTTAATGTTAAATTAAAGATTCCTTTGATCCGTGCGTTAGTTTCTGAGTCCGCTACATTATCACGATTCAGTGTTTTTAAAATGACCAGAACATAATTTTAAGAAGTTGTTAGTAGAACTTAAAAAAAGACTCTAAAATGGCATTAGCCTGTGAAACTGTTTGGTTTTAAATAGAACCATTATTTTTCATAGACACGCAGAATTTACCACATCTATTACAACAAATACAGAACATGCATCAAAAACCTATCAGATCTTATCCAGAACGTTTTATAAGTCTATAGGTAGTAGCCTATATTTTGTGGCATGTGACGTGTATGGTTCTCCAACAGAAATGTTCTCCACACAGCATGAAATATCATATGTGAAGCATTACGTAATATATTATCCACAAAGCCAACAATGATTTCACACCAGACTGTTTAATGGAGCAGAAGTTCCTGTGAAGATCAGCGATTACAGTTCACCAAACTCCCAGCCAGGTGGTTTCTAAACATCTCAATTCACTATTGCACATTCACTGAAAACATGAATTCATAAAGTATATTGTGAATCACTTCATTGCCTTTGAACATGTTCACTGGGTCCCTTTAAATATGTTATGATCTGTATTGTTCAGGAAGAACATCACAGCTCAGATCCGAATGAAAGCACAATTCAGTGAAGCTCAACCGTCAAGCTTTACAAATGCCAATTCAATGGTCTATTAAAGACCTGTTGTAGCATAGTCTTTCAAGACACAGATATTAAACGATAGATGAAATTGAATGCCTATATAATACGATTTCTCAGCACACACAAACAAAGATATATAAGGAACTTCATGAAGGTTTCAAATGAATCTTTCATTTTCAAAGGTTAAATTCACTAACAAAAATATGAGTTGCATTGGACCACAATGGCACTTTTGGTAAAAATATGTCTTTTTTTTTTTTTTTTGTGAGAGCTGATGTGTGCACGTGGGATGCTGCATTTGCATTAGAGGCGTAAAGACAAAGGAAACACAGACACGGCTTCATCAAAGTTCCCTAAATTTGCTTTGTAGTGGTCAGAGAACAGCAGGCACCGACTACAAATCATATTCCATATTTTACAGCTTTATTTCCAAGGACACAAAACTGTATTCCTGTGAAACCCTTTCAAGTTACTGGACGTTTTAACTAGCGTACATCAAAAAAAAAAAGAAAAGATTTCACCCGGTGATGCCATGGGAAATGTCAACAAATTATCTGTGAGTAAAATTGATGTGTTGCAATTTATCACTCGAGCTGAAGTGCGCAGACTATAGAATATGTAAATATTCTAATGAGCAGAAGTCAGCATATGGATAGTGCAATGACAAGTGTGGGGATGAGTTGATTGATTGTACGCTGATGATGGCACAATAAAAATGAGAGCGGGATGGGGGAGGGCGCTCGGGTGCCTACACAGACTGGCACAATGGCCCAGCAGACGCGCAAGACAACGGCCACTACAAACTCACAATAGCGGCAAGTCTGCCAGAATTTCAATAAACCTGTCGATTCGGAGAGCTGCGACCTGCCGTGAACTGTAATCTGTAATGCACTTTCAAATGAACATTAACAATATTTGCAGCTACAGTACGATTGGACTGTTTAACCTTGAGTATTCCAAAGCAGAAAGGCAACAAATCAGAATATTTACGTTAAATATTCTGCAACATACTAATCTTCCATACACTACTGATGTGTGCACGTGGGATGCTGCATTTGCATTAGAGGCGTAAAGACAAAGGAAACACAGACACGGCTTCATCAAAGTTCCCTAAATTTGCTTTGTAGTGGTCAGAGAACAGCAGGCACCGACTACAAATCATATTCCATATTTTACAGCTTTATTTCCAAGGACACAAAACTGTATTCCTGTGAAACCCTTTCAAGTTACTGGACGTTTTAACTAGCGTACATCAAAAAAAAAAAGAAAAGATTTCACCCGGTGATGCCATGGGAAATGTCAACAAATTATCTGTGAGTAAAATTGATGTGTTGCAATTTATCACTCGAGCTGAAGTGCGCAGACTATAGAATATGTAAATATTCTAATGAGCAGAAGTCAGCATATGGATAGTGCAATGACAAGTGTGGGGATGAGTTGATTGATTGTACGCTGATGATGGCACAATAAAAATGAGAGCGGGATGGGGGAGGGCGCTCGGGTGCCTACACAGACTGGCACAATGGCCCAGCAGACGCGCAAGACAACGGCCACTACAAACTCACAATAGCGGCAAGTCTGCCAGAATTTCAATAAACCTGTCGATTCGGAGAGCTGCGACCTGCCGTGAACTGTAATCTGTAATGCACTTTCAAATGAACATTAACAATATTTGCAGCTACAGTACGATTGGACTGTTTAACCTTGAGTATTCCAAAGCAGAAAGGCAACAAATCAGAATATTTACGTTAAATATTCTGCAACATACTAATCTTCCATACACTATTTCTTCAGTGTTTTTCTTTTTTCGGTTTATAATGTATTTTTCCCCTCCTGAAGTTAGATTTCCACATATTGCACCTCTTTCGACATTTGCATCTGCCTAAGGATGGACATAGCCTCTCTTTTATCTAGTTCAGAACTGTATTTCTTTCTGCTAATTAGATTTATGCCATTCTCCCCAGGATATTTTTCAGTTTAAGTAGGACAATGTGCATCAATGTCTGTCATTCATAAGAAACACATTTAGATCTCATTTAGAGACATTTAAATAGGACACACGTGGATTAAATGTAAATGTATTTTAGTGTTCTCACAAATCATTATCAAATTTGAGGTTACATAATATTTAAGATCAATAACCATTATTCGCATTCAGCTGTTGGTCTTATTTATTAGGACATAAAGTGCAAAAATGATCCTAAATATGTACTTTGAATTCCAGAATATCTATCATTCCCTTTACCCTTTACACCTTCTTTTTTTAGCATCATTGTGACATTTGTGTTGGTGTCTTAGTCATTAGCTTGTTGTTTTGATTCCCAAAATGATATTGCTATTGTGAGTCATCTCACACATGCTAAACAGTCTCGCCACACAACCTTTGATCAACACAAGGTCAAATTAAAATGCAGCCCTGATTGGACTTTGAATGTAAAGGTCATCTAATTAGCTATGGCCGTACTCATTCGTAAAAGGTTCCAGCAGATAAAAAACAACCTGTGACCTACTCTGGGCATAAAATACTGGCACAATCATCTAGAAAGACTGGCTTGTTTAGTAGACATCTCACATAGAATGTGCACTCAATTTAACCAAGGGCAAAGATTATACAACAGATATTATTCCATGTTCTTTTATATTTTCTATAGGGTATTTTCAAATGATTGTCCGCAATGTTCTGAAACATTTAGTTCAATATTGCAACAAGCCCATGTGATCTCATTTGTTTTTGCATGCATTCAGATGTGAAGTGTCTGGATACATACTATTTCTAGATACATATACTTCTGTCTGGGATTGATTTTCAAGGGCAATTTTTCCCCCTAAATCATAAGACATAATATTTAATTGAATTTAATTGAATTGAATTTTATTTTATTTTATTTTATTTTATTTTATTTTATTTTATTTTATTTTATTTTATTTTATTAAATTAAATTATTTTATTTTATTTTATTTTATTTTATTTTATTTTATTTTATTTTATTTTATTATTTTATTTTATTTTATAATTTAATTTAATTTAATTTAATTTAATAATTTAATTTTATTTAATTTAATTTTATTTATAATTGCATTTTTGACCCAAGTCCTTATTAAATTTGGACCTGTTACAATATAACGTAATTGGCATCATCTAAAACATTTTACAGACATGCATCTTTTCTTTAAGGGTCATAGATTATTGCATTCATGTAATTCATATAGTCATTTTATTTTACTTCAAATTAAACAGATTAAATATACTTAATAACATTTTAAATTAGAAATCTACTTACATTATACTCATATGTGCTTTACTTTTTAATGTATGAAAACAAATAGACTGAAACTATATTGTTATTAAGGGATGAAAATAAAAATGGATTAAAAAACTATATGATTATGTGTACATACTGTACATCTAAGAAAATCTAATGCAGTCACCCTGAACTATAGTTTACACTGTGATAAAATACAATTTGTGTGATAATAATTAGAATGTAAGTACATAAAAAAATGAAGAATGTGTGTACAGTGTATGTACAGAAATTCAATTTGCACTTTATTTTAAGTTGTCATTGTTACAATGTAATTACATTGTAACTACTATGTTATATTAGTTAACAACATGTACTTACTATATAGTTAGAGTTTGGTTTAGGGATAGTTGTAGTAATTATGTATTACTACAGTAGGTGCATGTAACGACCGCACTGTAAAATAAAGTGCTACCAAAATCTATAAAAACGAACAAGATCTGAGCAAGACGATGTTGTAATAAAGAATATCTAATCTGCATATAAATGTTATTTCTATATTGCTTTTACAACTCCAGTTCATTGATTTGTCCCCATTTCTCGTTCTCCCGCAGTGAACTTGCTGGACTCTCGCTCTGTAATTGGTGACCTGGGGTGGGTCGCATACCCGAAGAATGGGGTGAGTTCCACACATCTTCCTGTCTCTCAGCACTTTGAGCCGGCTTAGGAGAACATCTCAAGGTCTCCGATTCCCTCAACGGCAGAAAAGACAGTTTCGAGTGAAAAATAATAGAACATGGAGAGCGCAGCACAGAGAGAGAGAGGGACTATGAGAGGTCAGAGACAAAGAGAGAAGAAGGGAAAGCCCTTTTTTGTTCTGAAAGAGGCACAAAGACACACTAAACCTGCTGTTTTAATTTCTTTGTGACACTTAAGAGTGTGATTCATTTCTGTTGAGCCAGCCGATTGGTAAACCCGCTGAACAATGTGTTGAATTTTAACGACAATTGGCCAACTTTATATACATATCTGTTTTTGCATTCCCTATTTCCATTGAGAATGCCAAGTGAAGAAAGCTGAAGCTACATGAAATGGTTTGTCAGCAGAAAAGGAACATGTGTTGAGTATCTCGGTTGTTTTTGACAGGCTGACAGGAATAAGCAGCTACAAACTCGAACAGAACATGAAAATAAATATCCCAGGATTGCTTCAGGTCTGTCAGTATCACAATGTTTTTATACCCCCCCCCCCCCCAATAAATACATACAAATAATAAAAAACAAGCAACACCATCTTGTTAACTTCTTCATGACTTCACCCAGTTTGCTGTTACAAGAATAGTGCACCGACTAGGGCTGTGCAATATTGACAAAAATATAGTTTTCTTACAATTTCGAGTTTATATCTCACATTTCTGACTTTATAACACACAATTGTGAGTTATAAAGTCAAAATTGTGAGATAAAAACTCAATTCTGAGAAAAAGTCACAATTGCAAGATATAAAATCTGACTATATTTTTCAGAATTATGACTTTATTTCTCAGAACTGCAAGTTTAAATCTCACAATTGTGACTTTCTTTTTTTGTCGTAATTGCAAAACAAGTCAGAATTGTGAGGAAAATATTTGAATTGTTAGATAAAAAGTCGCAAATACCTTTTTTATTTATTCATTTTTCTTTTTATTCTGTGTCGGAAACGGGCTTCCATAGGTTTAGGCCTGTCATGGACAAATAAATAAATACGCCAGTAGGTGGCGCCAAGTCCCTGTCTTAATGAGTGATTCATTGGATCATTCATACAAGCAATTCGTTCAAAAACAGATTTATTCACAATCAAAATATCACTATGTGTTATGTTCTGCTCTGGGTTTGTTAGGAACTATTTTCATCAGCAAAACAGAAAAAAAAAAAACCAGACAATATTGTGTCTAAAATGTAACTTACTCAACATTAACTTTGTGTTTGATGAACTGTTGCATAAAGATAATATGACATTTGCGATCACACCCACATGCTAATATTTAGGAAAACGTTTCTTGTTTGATATTACTTAACTACATAAATACAAAAATGCAAACATTTACAAGGACATTTTTTGCTTTCATAACTTGAATTATTGAGGCATTTTAACTGCATCCTCAAGGCTTCTTCACGCAGTCAATGATTTTGGATTCTCAAGACATGTTTTTGTCTGGGTTTTTTTCAAAGTGAGTGAGAAATATACTCGATAATGTCAGCTCGCGTATCAACACAACCATTATGATATTATTGCAGATGGTAACTATTGCACACCTTTAGCACTGACCCAGCTCTCACTTCTAGTTTTGGATTTTGAGATTTTGATTAGAAAAGTGTGTTTGCTTTAGGACTGTGCAAACATTGTGATTGCTCCATTCTCAATGTCAGCTTGCTCATCCCAGCTGCTGTTTAAAGGCCTTTATTATTATCTAGCGTGGCCTGCATCCAGTGTTGACAGTGTGCAGTTATAGCTTAATTCAGTTTCCTGTTGTGATGGTAAAAAAGAGCGCTTGCATTGTGCTTACTTGCACCTGCCCTCCAATGCAACAATACGAGCCGACAATAGATGCTAAAGTCTCCAGGCACGCTGGATAACACCTGTTAAAGGAGATGATTATTCCTCCTCTCAGATGGAAATACAAACATCCTTGTGTGATATCCGGAATATGACGTGGAATGTGGAGAGCGATAAATCACTGTCAGATACGGCAGAGTGCTTTTCACATCCTCCTCAATGGCTATTTAGATTAAATGATTTTTTTCTCTATTATTAGATGTTCAAATTACTCAAGGGTGACATGTGCCGTCTGAGATTATGTCAGCAAGCATGGGATGTTAACTGGTATTGCTATTATGCAAGATGTGTCGAGGTTTGATCAAAGGGCTTAGTGAATCGGTTGAGCTGTTAATATGTTGATTTTTCATAGATTTTTCAAGTCATGATGTAAAGAAGTCATTAATTAATTTGTTCGTACGTTCATTCGTTTGTAAGTTCATTGATTGATTGATTGATTGATTCATTCATTCAAGTCCATTAAATCAACCTTATCCAATACAGTTTCCATAGAAATTAAGATACAAAATGCATGTTAAACATGTTAGCTTTCACAGACTAGATTACCAGGCAACAATATCAGATACAAATTACATACTAATATTAATCATACGTTTAATATTATAAATACGGTTAATCATAACATAAATAGTAGTATTTGATATTAATATATTGCTGATTTTTTGTACTATCTGTTTATTTGAAATATATTAAAAATATAGATTTTTTTCAAAGCAGCTTCACAGTGATACACATGAAAGTAGTGATTCAATGATGCAAACACAATTCAACACTGCTGTAAAAAGACAATAATAAACAGTCGTTATTCACTTGAAATCAGTTCAGTAAAATTTTTTTTTTTCATTTTTTGGGATAGCATGAATAGTAGTGTGCCATTATTGTGTGGCATATTTCTTTTCTTATTGTTTTCTAGAAAATCAAATCAAATGCAAATTTAAAAAATAAAAATAAAAAAAAAATAATATATATATATATATATATATATATATATATTCAAGTTTATTTGTATAGCGCTTTTTACGATACAAATCTTTGCAAAGCAACTTTACAGAAAATTAAGTTTTTAAAATATATTTAGTAGTAGCTTATGCGTGATGGATTGTAGCGTGGTAGAAGACCAGTTAAGTACGCATGAGCTAACCCATTAAGGGCCTTATAGGCATATGGGGTAATATGATCATATTTTCTTGACCTGGTAAGGACTCTAGCCGCTGCATTTTGGACCACCTGTAGTTTGTTTATTGAAGATGCAGGACAACCACCTAGCAGTGCATTACAATAGTCCAGTCTAGAGGTCATGAATGCATGAACTAG